TATATATATATATATATATTCCAAATATGTTTTTAGTTTTGGTAAATTGAGCAAGATTTAATTTTGGCTTTTGTAAGTTTTTTTTTCTTTTTTCATCTTTTAAAATTTGCAAAAAAAAAATATTTTTAGTTCCTATAAAATGAAAAAAATTTAGTTTTTATTTCTGTGAAATAGTTTTTTAATTTTTAATTTTTTAAAATTTAAAATCATTATTTTTTGTCTCTAAACTCTAAAGATCATTTTATGGTAAATAACTAACATTTATTTTAAAGATTTATAAATGAATAATTTTAGAAGTGTCATGTGTTGACATAATATTACTAGTACTTGTGAATAACACTTGAAATAATTCTTTAACCTTTTAATAAACATAAAAGTAGTTTTCTTATGTCATAAACACAAAAGTAGTTAAAAATGATTATATAGTGATATGAACTAAAAAATGATTCCAAATTTTAGAGAAATAAAAAATAAAGAAAATATTTTATAATAATTAATTATAATCATGATGGTTATCATAATAAAAAATGATAAGAGACTAACACAATATTACTTTTTTTCTTAGTGTACATATCATTGAGATTTTTTACTTCCTTAAATTTATAATGTAACTTACTACTAGATGTTTTAATGATTTATTATTCATAATGTTAGTACATACATCGCATAAATGATTCAAAAGAAGTTTTAAACTAAGAAGTTTCATAAGCCTTGATTTTTGAGATAGCAATTTTATCTATATATGAAATTGTAGAAGAAAAAAAATCTAAATAGCAGAGTTAATTTATCTCTATGTAATTTTATTTTATTTTTTTACTTTCTAATACATTTTATTACTAGTATTATTTTTTATTTAGAAGGTCTATATCTACACGTAGTTGATTGCAACTTTGCAAGTGTTGAGCAATGGGCATCATTTCAAATGAAGGAGATTCTTTGAAATAGCTGTAGTGAAGTGCTGACAACGACTGCCACTTTGAAGTACATCAGCTATGACATGGAAACCATTTAGAGGTACTGGACACAGCGTCCCAATTGTAATCATCAATTTGGGATGTGAAACAAAGAAGGGAATAATAATTATAATCTGTACTTGTGGTACATCCAATTCATGAACTTCATGAGATGCATATTTCTTGTTCCTATCGTTTGAGGTAAACCCGGGCATCTTTTTCTACACCAATGTTCAGCAGATTTTAGAGTTTTTACATATTTGATCCTAATTAAATATGCATAGAACAAGGGAAGGCAGAAGCGGAAGTTAACAGCAGTAGGAGATTGAGAGGGACTCAAACAAAAAATGAAAATAAGGTTAAAAAATATTTCCTTTCAACCTATTAATCGATAACCATGCGTAAAATCCCAAGTTCCAAGGACTATCCCATGGTGGTGAACAACACATCATAAGAGGGCATTTGGTTGAGCTCGATGAAGATATAATATTACTCCAATATACTCCTTCAAGTTTTTTTTCTTCTTTTTCTTAAAGTTTGCTTTTCTTTTTTAAGTGTTTATTTAATTTAAAATTAGGGCTAAATATGTTCACATAGTATACAGTATTGCATCAACAATATAAAATGTCTTTATGAAAATAAAAATGTTGGCGGTACATAAAAATTTAAATATGTTTTTAATCCAGGCAAATATATTCCACGAATATGAATATGTGCTTAGACATGATTCTTGTTCCTTAAATAAAAAAGTTATCTTCTTTTGATCTTTCATTTAGGGAAACAATAACTATATATGAGATTTGATACATTTCATAAATAATGGACTAAAAAGAGTCGATTGAATTTTAGGAACTAAAAGTAAACATTATATTATATACCTATAGTCCTTAAAATATATCTATATATATAATTTTTTTTAACAATAATATTTTTTACCGATATAACATTTTTTTTCAATTTTTTTTTACTGAAATACCATCCTTTTTGTTTTTCAGAAAATTTCTTCTCCCCCTAAGGACCTGACTTCTTAATGGTTTGTTTTTCTATTTTTTTTTAGTTTTAAAAACAAAAAATAATTTATCATTTAAAAAAAATTGCTTACACTAGAGCTATGAATCAGACATCAGCCTAAGCTGAAAAAACCAATAAATGGAACTGTTTACAGCGAATAGTATCAAAGCCCAATTAACTCCGTCATTCTCATTTTTTTCCCGACAAAGTTCCTCATATCCACTCACGATTCATTTTATCACGACCAACAAACTGCTTCGATCTCATCCCTTGCTGACCTATATAACTCCAGCCTCTTGGCACATTGCTGTCTCCTTTCCATCAACACGGAATCTTCATCCAGCAACTGTGCCAGTTGCCTTTCCTGAAAAATAAAAGCAAAGAAAAAATTAGTCAACAAAATGAACAAATCGTCCCATTCCCTTTCTCGTTGTTGTATCCTCAGATTACTGAGAAATGCATTTATCTGAGCCTGTAAAGTATTTAGCAGTAGTCCAATTCAATTCCCAAATTATATCTTCATGCTTGTTTCCCTCAAAAAGAGGATGAATCGTGGAAATGATACGTGAATACAGTTTAATATGGTAGTAGCAGGTCAGCAGGTGATTCAAAATTTTTTTTACGTATTGTACCTCCTTTTTGCCCAGTTGTGCGTAAAAATAGTCTAGTAATGATCGTTTAGCCTCCCTCACTTGACAATGAACCACAGCCTTTGGAATGGTATTCCTCAACGTTTCTGATACCATCCCAACATAGGATAAAACATTTGAACCGATCCTCTGAAAGTGTCCCTCTGCATACCGATCTACTGAGGAGGGAGCTGGATTCCCTCCCTTGTCAACTTCCTGCGGGAGTTTACGGAAGAAATCGACGGTGATATAGGAAGATTCCATTTCCACCAACCGTAACGTTGTCTTCCTACTGTCTTCACGGAATCTCTCTAATGCATCATTAGCAGCTGCTGCTATTTCAGTTTGAAGAGTTGGGAAGCGTTTCAACTCCTGCAACCATTGTCAGGTTTAAATAAAAGCACATTTTATCCAGAGCGTGAAGGGGAAGCCAAAATTCACCCAGCCCCCTACCCAGCCCAAAAAAGTAATTTTAATTTTTCAACTCAAACCTGCGTTTCTGCAACTGACTTTCTCACGAGTTCCTTCAGAATGAAATGAACCTGCCAAAAATAGCATACCATAGGAATTTAGAATCGGTAGCTTGCCAAGTGTAGTCAGGATTAAAGTTGGTCCCAAGGACAGCATAAAACAAGATCAATTATGGAGATTTTTTTTGGAAAAATTGATTTCCAATTGAAGAGTTGAACTGGATCGAACTATTTATAGCAAAAGCACTTACAGAATCCACAGAAGCTTGCGCGGGACCTTTGAAAAAATTCATTGAACTCTCCAGTAGGCGTCGGTAACCTTGCTCTGGGGCGATTAGATGAGGTTGGTACCCGTCTGCCTCTGAAATCACTTTTCTTACACTTTGCAACGACAAATGACGGTCCAGTGGAAGCTTTCTCAATGCAGCAGGAAGCTGGTAATCGAAAACCACATAAATTCTATCTCCACCTGGTCGCCTAAGAGGAGGGGGAATACAAAAAACTAGTAAGGTCAAGGCTTTTCCTTCCCAGAAGAAATATTATATCAAGTTTTTAAACCTAGATGCATACAAAGTCCAATGTCAAGTAGGATGATTAATGACTATTATCTATAGTCCCTGCACTTTGTTATTCAAACAGATTGATGCTGACGAACATGAAGAATTAGTAAGGCCAACAAACTAAATTATGACTTAAATAAGTTATATCCGTATTATTACAGTATAGTTACTGTAATTTCTTGAAGTCCTCCGTTTGTCTTACCTTGTTCAGTTTGTTGTATATAGTTTCAGTTTCCTTTCGTGTGAAAAAAACTAGTTTTTCAGGCAAAAAATAATTAATAACATCGATATAATATAATGAGGTCAAATTCATGACAAAATAAACTTGGATGATCAATAACACAACGCCTAAATATTGTAAAAAGAAAAAAAGCACACACGAAACATATAGTTGTGTTCTCAAAAGGGTTTGTCAATAAAGAACCAACTCCACCATCCAATTGTTATATGTGGTTGTCAGTTTGAACAGGAAAAAGAAAATCTTACCCTCCATCTAAATGCTCCTTAAAAACTCGTTCAAATGCGCGGCATAATTCTAGAATAGTGTACAGCTGGGCCTGATAAAATAAGAGGAAGCTAGATAAATATCTTAATAGAAATTATTTCAACTAATATGGTTTGTAGACAGCGAAAAATACTCCTCACCCCAGCGTCAACAGCAATTGGTCGACCAAGGCGTGCCAACTCTGCTTCAAGATCATTGATGCTTCTATTAATTAAAGACGCAATACCTGGAATCCGAGCTCTTATCACAGACTCCAAATGCTGAAACCAAATCAGTTCTATAAGTAACCAATCGAGTAACTCTTGACAGTTGCAAGAAGAAAAAAAATAGCAAAAAACATGCCCTCCCAACACTCTAAACTGCACAAGGGTAGGATAAATAGAAACCTTTGACAGAAGCCTTGCTAGATATTCGGAGCCCATTTGGCTGGCTAAGTGTGAGTAATCAGGATTGGTGGCGAAAAATTCACGCTCCCGCTTCCGAGCAGCAATCATATCCACATTCCTATTAATATCTGCCTGAGAACGGTTTACAATTCCCACCCAAGGGTTTTGAAGTCTATACGATCTTCCCTCGAGGACCTACAGGATAATCAAAATGGTAACGTTAAGGCCAATATGTAAAAATCATTTGTTCCTTTGTCCATCAATTGAGTGTACTAGAAATGCCAAAGATTCTTACATCCCGAGCATTTGTTCCTTTGTCCATCAAATCAAGCTTTGTCAACACACCAAATGTTCTTTCCCCTAGATGAAAAACATTTTGAAAGCAAGGTCAAGAACACCTATAATAGCATGAAAAGAAGCATACAATTTGTATGGTTGAAGCATAATGGTAAACAAAGCATACCTGCAGGGTCAACTTGTCTAGAAACCTTGATGGCATCTGATGTTGCTACATCTTGATTTGCTGGAGTAATGGCCAAAATTAAGCAATTAGGCTGCAACATAACAAAATATAAGTAATAAATAGATTTTCAAAAAAGAGCCATTAACTGAAGCAATAGTAAATTCATCAAACATCAAATGCTGTAAAATGAGGAATTAATTGGAAGGTGCAACTTCAAATTATTATTATCATTTTTCCACAAGTTCAATGGCATAATGTTAGAATGGAAAAGGTTAAAAAGTCCCAACAATATTTAGAATTCAGAATGCTAACAACTCTGGACCCAAAACATAATGTGACCAAACTATTGCCAGTCCATTAATCACAGGTATAAGAGAAGAGATTTAAATTAAGATAGTGAACTTATTATTCCATGGGTTGTTTATCCGACATGGGACAGGTAATTTCTTTTGAAGGCCATCCAAGAGCAAAACAATGCAAAATAAGAAAAATGAAGAGCCAAGAGGGAATTCTTTCCTATAGCTGTGTATATAAATGTGCATTTTTGACTACCTTGTCAACATATGAGTGAATCATGCTTTCAATGTCTTGAACAATACTTTCTGGCTGTCCCTCTGAAAAAAAATTATAACTTATTTATAGGAAAAAGGAAATTGATAATAAGAAATCCTTGTATATTTAGGAAAAATAATGAAAAAGACAGCGTACCTACAGCAACCTTTGTCAAACCAGGCAGATCGATCAGTGTTAGATTGACAACTATCAACAACAAAATAAAAACATTGAATGTCACAAAACAAAATGGAAAATTAACGATCCATATACAGAGAGCATAATTCCTTAAAACATTAGAAAGATAGTAGTGCTTGAACAACTTGAGGAAGCATGATGCTATTCAATTATAAATAAACTACTAATGGATAAACACTGAATCACCTGAAATTGATCTGCAAGTCACATAAAATGAAAACTAAAAGCTAATAAGGTAGCATCAAATAAAGCAATAAATAGCACAAATACAACCAAGTTTTCAGGGCACGTGTAAAGGTAGCAAGGACTGATTACATATTATCTCCCAGCAAATATCTATTACTCAGTTGCCTAGCTCATCTCCCGGCAAATATAAATAATACCGGAGTATGATTTATGGCAACAACAGCAAAAGGCTTTTCCTTCTCATATCTCAGAACCATGAGGGGTTCTAAACCAAGGATTACATAGCACCCCAAACGAAATGAAATGAAAAATATAAACTCTTTACCATTTGGGGAATAGATGCTGAGATGAATAGGAACAGGAGATATCTGTTTTGATTTCCCAGTCAGTCTATCAGTTTCATCTTCAATTTCCTTTCGAACCATAGCTAAAAAAGATAACAAGAAATCAAACATCAAATTGAATATAGTTTATCTAAAAAAGAATAAAAAATAAAAAAAAGTTGAATAGAAGATATATAGTGTTTATATATTTCTGAGTAAAGATCCTGAGAAAATTGTGGGTGTAATATAGTGTAAACTAAATTATTACAAGATTTTCACCGGTGTCAACTTGCAAAACAATTGCCAAAAACAAAATAAAACTTGCAGCTAATATCATTATATTATCTGGGATGACCAAGAAAACACGCACCACAAAATATCCTACACTCTGAAAAACGTGTCATCCCAATTCCAAAAAAAAAAAATCGAATGAGCTTCGTCTTTGACCAGGTAAAGCCATGCATTAATGTATGTGGCAAGTCTGATAGACGGTAAGTCATTGTGAGTTTAACATACGCATGCTGTTGCAGGGTAACATTAGCAAGCAATGCAGAAAAAGAAATAATATACCTGGGAGAATCACAGATTGACAAGATAAAATTTACACAAATAAACTAGACTACAAAACTCCACTACATTATAAATACATATTTAGGAAAAACAAAAACTAAAGACATGCATGCAGATCGTGCACTGTGTACTGAAGGAACTCTCATTTCCAGAATCATCAAACGGAGATTCAAAATCAAATACGCATTGCAAAAAAAACTAAAGAGAAGACGTACAGAAATCAGTAAAGCGTTTCTTAGGCAAGTGCAGAAACTCCGCATAGTCTTGCATTCCTTGCTCTGTTTTGTGCAGTTGCAGCACCAAAGGCCTCCGAGTCACAATCCCTAAGCAAGGTTCACGAGAAAAACGACAAATAAATTTGGCTGAATTTTCTCTTCCTTTCACAATTCAAAATATCCTTCAATTTCCTTCTTCCAGTGATTACGCAACCAAAAAGCAGCATAAACTAAAACAAATAAATAAACAAACAAACAAACAAACAACGATTAAAGCGATAAATACGAACCTGATCCCCTGGGAAGAAAATCGCGGCCGACAATGCTCTCAAGCACCGACGACTTTCCAGAACTCTGCAGCATTCCGTAAAAATCAGTTACGCAAATAGCGAAAGGAAAATGGAAATGGAAATGGAAAAGAGAGGAGCGAACCTGGCCGCCGACGACGGCGACGGAGGGAAGCGCTTCCCATAGAGTAGGCAAGGCGGCGTCGGCGCCGTGGTCGCCGAGAAGCGTACAGGCGCGCTGAATGCGGTTGACGAGTGCGATCAAGGTGTCCATTGGTTGCGGCGTAGAGTAAAAGAGGAGTAGGAGAGGAAGGAAGAAGAAGAAGAGAGGGAGGAGAAGAAGGGAAGCTATTTTGGTTGCTTCTGTGTTTTTCCGTTACGTGACTACGCTTTTCTCTCGCACTCGCACTCGCACTCGCACTCGCACACTCTGTTTTTTAAATTTCGCAGAGGAAAGAGAGTTCGGATGATGGGCCACGTAAGCGAAACTTGAGTTGAGTCTATCACCATTCACCTCAACAGCTCAACTGCTTCCGCTCCTCCTTCTTTCTGCTTTCGAATCAGTCAATTCTTTTTTTTTTTTTATATATATATTTTTTTTTGACCTATCCGTTTTTTACTCTTCAACATGCTCCCGGCGTGATATTTTTACTTTTCATTTTCATCTTGTAATAAAAATAATTCTGTTACATCTTTTGTTTTCTTTTTAAATTTAACTCAGTCTTGTATATTTATAAAATATTCAAAATGATCTTTTCCGTTACGTAGCGATTAGCATTAAAAAAAATTCAAAATGCTCTATTAATGTTATACGTCAGTCGGTCAGTGTAATTTTGAATAACATGCATGAAAGATTAAATTGGATCTATTTAAAAACATATAGAATAAATTTAACTTATTTTTGTAGTTAATAAATTGTTTGTTGGTATTTTATTTAAGTTATACTATAACTTATGTAAATATATTTTTCATTTGTCATTGAGCTGTCTTTCGCACATATTTTCTTTTTTCAATGCATTAATTTTTTTTTTTTTTTTTTTTTTTTTTTTTTTT